TGGGTTTCAACATTGCGACTGTTTCGAAGTTATGGTAGTTTAGTACATGCGTCAAGCTATTTGAATGCCAATCGCGACATCTGCCAATGGTACTGAACGGAGGAAATATCAAATTGAAATTTGTCCGGATTTTGGCGACGCACCCTGTATATGCGACGCCCAAACAGAGAAAACCAGTCCTCTCTCTCGGGGATTGCCAATTTGTCACGCGCACAAAATGGATGCGTGTCATCGACACGATGCAGAGATTCTTTCCCCCTAGAGGGTAAAATCAAGAGTTAAAGACGCTCTGTGTGCCGTTTTTTATTTTTCTTTCCGCGCGAGATCGACGTAAAAAAAAATCGATATTATTCTATGTAAGTATTGTTTTTCCCCCTTCGGGAGAAAAAAAAGAAAAAAAATGATGAGACCCCGAGCGCGAAACTTGCAACATTTTGCAGATATCAACGAGTGCGCGGTGGATAACGGCGGTTGCACGGAGGTGTGCGAGAACACGGACGGGAGCTTCTTCTGCGCCTGCGACGGGGACGAAAAAGCCTTGTCATCCGACGGGAAATCCTGCGTGGGTACGTATAAAAAAAACGTCTTGACAAAGACGTCACTTGCTCGACGTCTGTAGTCTCTCTCGCGCGCGAGATGATCGAACGCGACGCGTGCGTGTTTCGACGATTCCGCGCGCGGCTTCGAATCGCGCGGCGAGTGCTTCAAATTGAAGTTTATCTCTTGGACGTTTCTCTTCGAGCGTTGTTTTCTCGCGTAAAATAAACTTTTTTAACGTTCAATTTTTGCGCGTTCAACTTTGTGAAAAATTTCGAAGCGACGCGCGCGGCGTTATATAAGATATATACTCGACCCCGGGGTCGATTCGTTGCGTCGGAACGGAGCGGCGTTATGCAAAGTTGTCACGCTGGAACGGTTTCCGAACCGGATGTCTGATCGGGCTGAGATACAGGTTCTTCCTTCCCATTTGTAATTCCTGCTTTATACGCACGTATATATCGCATTTGATACGTAAACGCGCGTCGCGGCTGACGTGGCTGACATAATACCCGCGTCGATGATGAGGGGACGGCGCCGCTTTGAACTCTCTCTCGCTCGCACAGATTAATGGGGAAGTCTGCGGGAGGGTTTATGAGCCGTACGTGAATGTTGGCGAACTATAACCCCGCGCATTACTGTGCGCACTGTTAGGTTCGGCGGAGCGCAGGTGCATTTAGTGCACAATGAATAACTGCGCCCGCGCCCGATGAATAACCATCAAATCCGCGTGTTTATTTCCGCGGTCATCAAACGACAACGTATACCGTTTGTACCGCGCGAAAACGGAATAATAAATACCGATATTTTTTTTGGTTTTTTTTATCTCTAATCGAACGTCCGCCACCCGGAGACATTACGAAAAAAAAGTAATTTATTTAAAAAATTACAACACACTTGCCACCGAATTTTATTCCGTTTGATCAGATAGCGAATAAATAAGCGCGTTAATTAACGCACGTCTGGAAATGTCAAGTATATCAAAGTTCTAAAGTGTGTTATTCTTGAAATCGATCGATTTTCTTCGTCGTCGGCGAGATGAAAAATTCTGGCAAAAAAAAAAAAAAAAAAAAAAAAATTATAAAAATGTTTTCATTTAATTCGTTTCGCACACACAGATATAAACAGCATCACCTGTTTGCCGCTGAATACCGTGAGTCGTGGTTACCTAATTTGTTCTCGATTGGAAACATCAAAGCTTTGGCGCGACAGACGAAAAGAGCCCAATCGACCGGGCACGAGATGTTTCCTGAAATGTCCTCGCGGGTACCAGCTTCGCGGTGATTACGAGCTGACCTGTCGATCCGACGGCACCTGGGATGGACCGCAGCACGGAAAATGCGTCAGTGAGTAAATACACACCGGGAGTCTCCTCTCAAAACGATACATCATCAGTCTCGATGAAATATAGCCTTCGTTCTGTTTCGTTAGCTCTTCTCTCTCTCTTTTTTTTCTTTCTCTCTCTCTCTCTCTCTCTCTCTCTTTCGATCCTCTTTCGATATATATATATTGATTCTGCGGAAGTTGGATAGATCAAATAAAGAAGATAAATAATAATTATATAGCTCATCGCAAATAAACAAGATAAATAAATTTCCGGTAAAAATTGCAGCTTTCTTTGAACAAAAACGGTCCTTAAACTTTCCTCAATTTTGAGCGAAGTGAATTATAAACATAATATAAATTGAAAAGAGAGAGAGAATTTGTTTCTTTTTTTTTTCATTAAAAAAAAAAAAAAGAAAAGGAAACTCTTTCGGACGCGCGGTGAAAAATTTCGGCGCGAGATTGTCGAAAGAGACGCGTATAGCGACATTCTTTACTCTGCAGGATACAGCAAGCCCCGATTGGAGTGTCCGAAGGACGTCGTAGCCGAATTACCGCCCGGCAGAGACGAGGCGTTTGTTACCTTCGATCAGCCGGTTACCGATCTCGATTGGTTCCGTTACGTACGATCAAAGCCGTCGTGGGGCACGCGACTCGAGGCGAATCTCACCCCCGGGATACACGAGATAACATTTTACGCGCGACACCCGGTATCGAAGAAACAGGCCAGCTGCGTTCTACGCATTATCGTCAAAGGTAATTAATCTGCGCGGATGCGCGCGTTAACGATGCGTTTACGCACATAAACCTCCGACTAACGATGAGATTCTCGTTCGAACGCACGTGATAATGACAGTTGCCCTCCCTAACAAGCTGAAATGGCAAATTATTAATTTGTAATTGCGCAACGCGTCAGAACGCCGTTTTGCGCACACGCAAGACCGTGCGTGTTATCATAATGTCTTTTTCGAAATTTGCGTTTCTTCCCGGAGTAAAAAAAAAAAAAAAAAAAAAAANATAAAAAAAAAAAAAGTTTTTTGTTATTAGAACATTATTTGCAAACAGTACCGTGCATGTAATGGCAATAAATTTCCGACAATGTCATTGTAAAATATGATTAGCATTTTAGAAGAGCTGTCAATTTTTCTCAAGAGTGTCACCTCCAAAATAATGTAAAAAAAAAAAAAAAAAAAAAAAAAAAATCCTTTTTAAACCGACACCGGAATCAGTTTTTTGTTTTTTTTTTGTTTGTTTGTTTTTTTTTCAAACATCCATATGTTCGAAGATATTTATCGCAAAAGCGATAAATTTTGGCAACGCGCCAAAATGCGTTATATATACAAACGTATATATAAGCTTTCTAAAGATCTGACTGTTCGTCTCAATGTTCAATTTACTCCTCCTGGGATAATTCACATGCGCCTCCCGCATTAATTAATCCGGATTATAGAGATTGCACTCGAGTAGAGACGCCGCCGCGCTGGATGAACGTCTCTTGAACCTTGTAAATCTTGATTAATAACGGATAGAGATGAAAGATAACACGTGGGGAGGTCGGTCCTAATTCCTTCGCGGGAACACATGTTTAAATAAACTGCAACGAACTCTCTTCGGGGGGCGCGTCGTAAATCATTTAACCGTCGTAAACTTTCGTATATATGGTTCCCTTTTCATTGATTAACAGCGCGAGAGATTGAAATGTTCTCCGATCTTTGCTTACAAGAGCCCCCCGAGCGGTAATTCGGGATTTTGCGCGCGCGCGCGCGCGCGAGTCGATAAATTGTTTGGATGTCTCACTTACCGAAATGAGCGCGTTGTATCAAAAGTTTTTTTTTTTCCGTCCGACCCGCTCAAGTCCGCGGGAGTTCTTTTGAAACGCGTCTTAAGAATATTACAGTCCCTTGTGTTACCCCCCGTCTACGTTGATGCATCTTTTCGGAACGTGAGCGAAATACATTTCCAGAGCGAATTCGTCGCGCGCCGCCGCCGCCGCCGCCGCCAAGTTAGATCTTTATACGATCTCGAGCGAACTTCGCATCTCACTTCTCTCTCTCTCTCTCTCTCTTTTTTTTGCATTCGCTGGAAAATTATCTTGACAATATTTTTCGCAAAAAACAAACAAACAAAATTACTCAATTTTTTATCACGTCTGCAAACTTCGATCTCGCGTTAAAAAAATATGGAGTAGAGAAAAGTTTCTTTTCTTTTGTGTTTTTGTTTGTTTGGGGAGGAGGGGGAATTATTTGCGAAATGAGATTTGTAAAAGTGTACGCAATATCGTTGGTAGAAAAATGAAAGACGCGATGTTTGCTACTTGGTGTATATATTTTTTTTCTCTCTTAAATAAAAGTCCTTTTTAAACGACTTAAACATTCTGGGCGCGGGAAGAAGCACGAAACGGAGTCGCGTTTCATCTAAACCTAAAGCGAGATTTGAGGATTGCATTTGGCGCGGATCCCTCTCTTGTAAGAGTACAGGCTCTCATTTGTGTCTAGAAGTATAAGTTGACGAAACTTAATTTAATGCAAACTCCGGCTTCATCACTGACACTTGAGCCAACGAGTTTTCTCGGGGAAACGTTGGCCTGATTTTGCGGACAAGTCCGCAACTTGAATCGCTATTTCTTTTTTTTTTTTTTTTTTTTTTTTTTTTTTTTTTTTTTAACGAACGAAGAAAACTTCGGGCGCGCGCGCGCGCGTGAATACGCTTTTCCGGACGAGTGTACAATGCCAGAAAAACTATATCAAAGTGCGCGTTATAGCGCGGTGGGTACACGTACCCTACGAAATTATAAAAGTTTACAAAGACGCGGTTTTTCTCCTTTTTATCGAGCGGTCGACGACCGCGCCGTTTGAATGAAAAATACACGTTTACGGGAAGCGGGGGAAAACTTCCGGCGCAATTATAATCCGCGTGGGTTTCTTCTTCGAAAATTTCTTTAAAAATTACCTCCGAATCCGATTCGCCACGTTGCGTTCGTTTAAAATACACGCGAGAGAGAGAGAGAGAGAAAGAAATGAATTTCGTTCGCGAACGAATATAATACACTTCGTGTCGCGCTCGCGGAGTTGCCGATTCATCATTCGACGACGATGCGGAAATCGAACTTTCTGACACGCCGTCGATTCCGAGTTTTCTTACGGCCTGCAATTTCCTCGCTCAGCGACGCGAGCGAGCGAGCGAGCGAGCGATAAATCGAGCACGAGATGGGAGATCCGCTATTACTTCAATTTGCTAATCCTCCGAACTATCTAGGCGGCGAGGCGCCGAAAGTCAAAGACTGTCCCGGGGACATCGAGGTTATCGGGAAAAATGGGACGTCAATCACGTGGACGGAGCCGACTTTTACGGACAACGTGAAAGTCACGCGAATCAATAACAACGAGGTAAGAATCTCAATATTTGCAATATGTTTTTTTTTGTTTTTTAAGTAGAATCAGTGCATTGCACTGAAAATCGGTAAATATTTACTGATTTATAGTTACAAGTCTTCCACTGAGTCAAATACGTATACCGAAAAAATTATATTCTCGTAAGTAGAAGATTTTACACTTAAAAAATCTTTTTAAAGATTTTAGATGATATTATTCTGAAATAAAAAATATATTCTTTATTTAAGAATATATTATTAATTTAAGAATATAGTCTTTTTCGATAGTAAGATATATATATGTTTTTTTATAGAGGCTTTTTATATTCTAATCAGTATATATTCTTATCAATATTACTATTTAGAGGATTTTCTTCTTAAAATAAGAAACTCTTCTTGGCGCCTATTTTAGTATAAAATATACTTAAAGTAAGTGGGATATCCTCAAAACAAGAATACAATTTTTTCGGTGTACCGATTTTCAGTGCAACGCACTGATTCTATTTAAGAGAGTTTTTTTTACTATAATTTTTTACTCACTTTCTTTTTTACCACTTATCTCTCTGCTAATGTAGAGAGATCGATGAGTTATCCGAAACGTGCTGGTGTCCGTTGACTCAGTTTCGGAGTCTTCTCGAAGTCATCAGAAACAAAATGGCTCTTGTTATCGCGCGTGTGGTGTCTCTATACCGTGACAGTTCGCACTTAAATATAGTCATTTGCGATAACAATATATACATCGGATATGCAATTGTGAAATTTCATTATGCGTTCACGCTAATCACGATAAACGATTCGTTTTGAACGATGCGCGCTTATAATCCCGAACTTTATGCATATATATATATGTATATGCATATATATATATATGTATATGCATCACGTAATTAGACGCAAATAATTAATATTTTAATGTACACGCTTGATCACTCGACATCTATGTAATTGTACGGTAATGAAAATTATCTGATATATTATAATTTTCATCTCTAATAGTCAATAGTAGATACAGGCGCAATTGGTTTATATATTGAAATAATCAAGTCCATCAACGTTTGTGAATAATGCGTTGCAAAAAGCTCTCTGATACACAGCATTCCCGCAATATAATACGCATTATATTACGTGCACGCGCGCGCGCGCGCGCGTCAAATAATCGCCTAAAATGTGATTTTGGATGGTAGTCGCACGTTTAACAAATCATTATTAATATTTTACGATCGCGCGCCGAGATATCTTCATTAACGATCGTGTTATCGCGGTGTCATCGTTTGATTGCCCGCGTTTTATAAATTCGACGAGCGAAACGCCCGTAGTAAAAACGCAATCAAACGTGGTCTCCACGTGGGATGTGAATAAATCATCCAAATGTTCTCGATAATGTGGGGGCATCAAGCGCGCGCGCCCGCACGTGACGATATTAACGTCGTTAAAGTTTTTCTTTTTACACAGAATGAAAACTGTGACGCGCGGTTGATTGACTAATTAACGTCGGTTTTCGGAAATTAACGCGCGCGACGTCGTATCAGAATACCAGTGTACATTGTTAGCGGCTTTAATTAAGCTTATTTGTCGACGCGCATCAATTATTGCTCGAATTATACCCTAGTTCCCCATCGCTTTGTGCGCTTTGATAAATTATGCAAATTTTTCGAGCGCGCTAAAACGTGTACGGGGAGGGGGAGGGAGGGAGAGATGAGGAGGAGAAAGAGAAACGAGCGCAAAAGCGATACCCGGGGATTCATGAGCGCGCGCGCGCGCGCGCGAAAACCAACGAGGATTTGCCCGCGAGCGGATCGCGTAGTTAAGCATAATTTTACGTCCGCGCGAGACGACGCGCGCGGGATTTTGGCCTTGGATAAATCCCCCACGAAAAGCGGCTCGCGGGCGGTTTCTCCCGCGCGTCGTCATCCCTTTCCCTTTATTCAAATTCCGGGGTTCTCTCGCGGAAGGAGTTTCGTGTTCGCTGTGTCGCGAAATTTCGTCTCTCATGACAGATTTCCTTCCTTTACATATTTGCTTTCTTTGCGAATTCACACACACACCGTCGACATGCATCGACACGCATATTTTTCACAGAGTCCGGGTCGTCGCTTCGACATCGGCGGTCACAGGATCGAGTACGAGGCGAGCGACGAAGCGGGCTGGTCGAGCAAGTGCGTTTTCACCTTGGTACTGCGTGGTCGGAAATAACCGGAGCACCGAGGCAGAGTCGGAAGAGGATCCGGAACGCGCGCGGCAGGAGGAAAAGTGAGTGAAAGAGAAAAAGAGAGAGAGAGAGAGGGTGAGAAAAGAGGGAAGAGAGGCACGGCACGTGGAAGAATAACGATAAGGTAATATAAATGGAAATGCCACGGGAGAAACGCGCGAGCTGAGCGCCGCTCCTTACATAGGATCCCGTAATGGATTCCGTTTTGTCCGGCAGGGGTTACACGCGGAAAAATACCGGGATATCCATTTGCACGCACATGCCTCCCTCTGTGAATCCTCTTTGCGCGCGCGCGCGCGCGCTGCTCTCGCGGTGTGTATACTTTTACCCTTTTTTCCCCCCGGCGGCGCAACGACACGCGTAATAAAATTTCAAAACACACGGGAATGTTAGACCAAAGAATTTTACCGCAACGACGTCCGATAGATTCACGGGAGTCGAGAGACTTGCCATTTTTTTTATCAAGAATATACCGTAACGATAGTTCGGCAGCGACGTGTTCGCGCGAGACGTACGATAATAATATCGCAACGACAAGAAAAGTGTGGAAAATGGCTCGGGGGCTCGTTTCATCGAAACTTTTCATCGATTTTCTCGCTCGCGTTTTCACGTCGCAAAAATGTCCGATATTAAAATTTTGATATTTTTTTTAATGAATGTTTTTCATCGCAGACGGCTTCAGACGCAACACACAAAGGAAGAGAGAGAGAAAGATAGAAACCGCCGATACCCCGATCTCGCGTTAAACAGAATTTAACAGCTCGTTACGTCATCAGCCGCGCGCGAGGCTCGAACAAACTTCCGCGCGATCTAACATTCTCCGAATATTCCGCGGTTAATTAAACGTGGGGGACTATACATCGAGAATATACGTTACGACGGCGTCGTGTGTCAGCCGATTCCTTTACTCCGGATCTCTCCGCCGAATGTATCCGCTGACAAGCTCAGCCAGAAGACAATGGAGGATCAACGCGCGCGGCACTCGCGCTTATCAAAATTACACACACGTGCGATCGCTTCGAAGATTGACGCGGAATCTGACACGCGGCGTTAAGCCGTTTACGTTAGCGATACATCGACGCGATGTAACGTGGATCGACGGTTGGTGTTTTATTATCATTGACGTTTGGATATCTCGCGATATATTTACGCAAAATTTTCACACACATCCGCCCGTTGCGCGCGATTAAATAGATGTGTTGCGAAATACTCGCGCGCGCGTGTTTTTTTTTTTTTTTTTCGTTTGATCGTACAAGATTGTACTCCGCAGTGTTTTGTGTCATTTCGCGAGATCGCATTGTCTCTGCGTCAACTTCGCTTGACGTTAAATAGCACGTTCTCGGAGAAAGAGAGAGAGACAGAGAGAGAGAGAGAGAGCACTTCTCGCGAGTTTGCAGTAACCTCACGCAGTTGCAATAGGTTCGCGCGCAGTTGACGCAATGAATAATTAACTGCAAGTCTAATTAGAACGTCGTTCTCCGTCGCAAGCGGACCGTGCGCGTATATCTGCGATACAAAATTTCGTTTTCTTAAATGAATGTTTGAAACAATTTAAAGCGTACCGTCTGTTATATATATATATATATATATACGTGACCGCGTCGTTGTTTTTTCCTCTCGTTAAAAAAAGAGAGACGAGAGAAAGAAAGAGAAAACAAGAAAAATATAGAAAATCGAGAACCCGGATGTTAAATATGCGCGAAAAACCGGGCGCTGTGTGTGCGCGCGGGGTTTTTTTTTTTTTTGCGCCCGCGCGGGAGAAACACACATGGAACGCGCATTTTGTTTTCGCGGAGCGTTGCCCATTAATAAACACGCCGACGCGAATCAACAACAACAACAACAACAACACGCCTCCGCGACTTGCGTCACCGATCAATTAATAATGTCGGCTGTGCGAGACCCGGCGAAGCGATTTAATAACCTACCGGCCTACGTTGCGGTTTTGCGTTCCGATAAACGGCGCGAGGATCGCGCGGAAACACGTAACGCGCGCGCGCGCGCGCGCGCTCGACGCCAAAGGGGTGACAGAGAGGAGAGGCAGACTACCGTAAAATGAGCTCAGGTCGCGTACCGGGTGTAACTTTACGCCACAATGAACGCGGGATCACGTAGTATCATGTTTAACGCCCGAAGAGAGAATAATTCGTTAAACTCTTCTTCTCTCCAATTCCGTTCACTCTTCCCCTCCCTTCGCCCCCCCCGTCCTTCCCTCGATAGCGATTGATTTCGCAGTAAAATTCCATCTATCTCCGTTTCTCGGCGCGCGCGAAGAGCTACTACTATACGTCCTCCCCCTCTCTCCGTCGAGATTCATCAAACCAAACTCCGCTCCAAGTTTCGCGGTAGCGTTAGATAAGACGATTTTAGATCTTGTTTGTTTTTTTTTATATATATTTACTCTATTTATTAATGTATAACTCTTCTATATATGTATATCTATATCACGCGTCACTTCCTCTCGCATATCATTGTTACACAATCGAGAAATGTCATGGAAAATACGAATACATTGTTATTATTATTATTATTATTATCATCATCGTTATTATTATTATTATTATTATTACTACATAGATGTATAAAATTTATGTATTAAATATACGTGTATACATACACATGTGCCGTATGTATATTACACAAAAAAAAAAAAGAAAAAAAAGAAACGGCAGTATCGCCGAGCGGAGCGCCGGTGCGAACCGATCGCGATCGTCTGTCTCGGCGGTAATTAAAATTGTGTGTCAAAAAAAAAATTTCATATTGTTCGAAAAAAACCAACGTGTGATCGACGGTCGCGTCGGTTCGCCTCGCGATTCTCCTCTTCTCAATGCGTCCCGCCACATCCTGCATCCTTAAAAAAATTATTGACACACACAGTGTACGAAGGTTTGTTTTTTTTTTTTTTTTTTTTATTGAATATAACTGACAGGTCGATTATACAGAAAAGACAAAAAAAAAATATCGCTACTGCGATATTTAAGGCACGAGTCAGCCCTCCCGGGAAGGGAGGCTTGAAAGACGAGAGAAAGAGAAGATGTGCGCGCCTCAGGTGCCGCGCGATTTATACGCGACAGCGCTTTTCCCCGAGTTTAGTATTATACGCGCGCCGCTTATTACACGTCGCTTACGAGAGGGCGGGCTCTCTCCCGCCCTCTCGGAGCACAACACGCGCGCGTGGGGCTTTTCCTTACGTGCAACATTTACGCCGCGGCAATATTCTAGTCTCGATGCGGGCCGTGCCGTAATGAGTCGGTGGGGAAACTACGTGATCGGTCTTCATAGAGCGCTGCCGATATTGCCGCTGCTGCAACAGCTGCCGCTGCTCCTGCTGGCGGGGGTGATACCGTTGTCGCCCCGGGTGTCGATCTGAGAACATATTTCCCTTGTTATCAGATATCCGCTGCGTTATAACCGTTTATATATATGACAAGCGAGGGGACGTAATTAAAAAAAAAAAAAAAAAAAATGTTGTTTTCGAGGAAAACAAAATTGCTCGCCGTCTTCTATTTCGACGACAAATATCGACTTGTTTATTTTCTTTCTGGGGGGAAGGGGAAAAAAAAAACGCACACGCCGGTCATTTTTCATCCGTCACGCGGCGAAACGCGCGTGAAAGATACGAGAGATTTGCAAGAAAGAGAAGTGTACGTGCGAAAAAAAAAGAAAAAGAGAAAAAATTAATGAAGTAATATCGTAAAGTTTTTACGACGCGAATTTTTTCATCGCCGTACACATTTCATTCTTTGTTCTGGGAAGTGGATTTTGTCCTTGTAATTTCAAGAGTGTTTTTTCTTCTTCTTCCGCTCGGGCTATAATAATAATAATAACAATAATAACTGGGAACTCTCTCGCGCGAAAAAACTGTGAAAATATCTCGTTCGACTTGAATTTTGATGCGCGCGAGAGAGGAAGAGCCGGGCGCCGCCGCCTGTCCAATCAGCTGTTGAATCGCGCTTTAACTGACTTTCGCGCTTAAGTGGGTCAGATTGTCGTATAATGTCATCAAGAACGAGAAGGAGGGGGGCCGCCGCTTTTCTCTCAAACACCTCCCTCCGTGCGAAGGATCGCTTGGAGAAAAAAAGCGAGAGAAACAGAGAGAGAGGGAGAGAACAAGAGAGTAAAAGTGTCGAACAAAAACTTTCCAAGTACTACCGAGTATACAGCATCGTTAATCATGCGAAGTCAATCTACGTCAGATTAGTAAGATTGATTGGATACACTGAAAGCCGATGCATTAAAGGGTTCGGGTGGAGGGGGGGGGATTTAAGCGCATTATACCGATGATCCCGTACCACCATCACCCGAGCTATTGACAACACGTTGCAATAGTCGCTTCTATACCAGATTCCTCGTCAATAAACCGGGGCGCGTATATATGGCGCGAGAGAGTCTACACGCGCGACGTATGAAAATTTTCACGTGTGAAAGCGCGGCGAAAGAAAAAATCCGCGAGTGACGCGAGATTATCGTAATTAATGCGACGCTTTATAAAATCAATGTGTCTTCTTATCTTCTCGTCGTCGTCATCATCGTTTTCGTCATCACGAGCGCATTTAACACGAAGCAATTAGCGAATGACAACTCGGTTTTGTCCCCGATAAGTGGCTGTCGTCATCTCGGCAAATACTTTCGGTTCGCGCATCTCGTCGGGTTGTCCCATTTTCTCTCTCTATGTCTTATTAATAAGCGGCGGCGCTATAACGTGCTTAAGAGATTGCGCCACAACCCGTCCGTGTATGTAAATCACACGTATAGCCTAGAGAGAGAGAGAGAGAGAGACAGGAAGAGAGAGAGAAAGAGAGAGAGAGAGACGACTATTCGAGGCGTTCATTAACTACTTTGTGGTTTGCCAGCAGTACTTAGTCGACGGGGCTATTGTTATGTTGTGGATGTCGTGGCGCTCTCTCGTTGCGGGTTGCTTCGTTGAATGACTAAATTTATATTTCGCATTGTGCGGTGCGTTGTAAACGCAACGCAAATGTTTAAAAGAAAATGCGCAAAAGTAATTTAAATCTGTCAAAGTTTTAATTACTTCATATAGTTTTGTGTGTTGGGTGTTTGCATTAAATTTGCGGTTTACCGATTTATATCGAGAGAGAAAAATGTGAAAAACACTTCGCAAATCAATTCAATTATTATAATCGAACGCGCAATGTCCCTTATAAACGGCGAAAATATAAATTCTCATTAATACACGTATATAATTTGGCAATGATAATATATAATAGCGATGTTAATGCAAATATCGATCACACACAATTGTGTTTTCAATAAAAGTGTGTGTGTGTGTGTGTGTGTGTGTGAGAGAGAGAGAGAGAGAAAGAGAGAAGAAGAGAAAGAGAGAGAAGCGCCAGCTATTTCCCTCTCTCTGTATTTTATTTTAATTACTTCCACTATCAATTTAAACGAGTTTGCATACGAAATTTGCCTGGTTTGCTGCGCAGTAAGCTGTAACTACGAATTGCCGGATAAAGTATAAAAATAATAATAATAATAATTGCATTAAAAAAAAAAACAGAGTGTGCGCAGACACACACGTATATATATATATATATATATACACACATATGTATATCAATGTCGGCAGGTATTTTTTATTACACGTTTTCAACATCCAGAGGCGATTCTTTGCACAACAATTCCGGATGTTTTTCGACCCTGTCCAGCACGCTTTGCAGCTCCTGAATCTCCTCGGGCGACAAAGGTGTTTTCCGTTCCGACAGAATGGATATCGCGTCTACGAGGCTAAGAGACGCCAGTGCGACGCAACCGTTTTTATCTCCGCTCTTGTTCAAAAGGGCTTGTTTCAACGTCTTAATGTACGTCTTCAGGGCGGAATTCATCGCGAGTCCCATTCTCGAGTCGCGTCGCGGAAATTTCAATTCCTCGCCGGAGGCGCGCGCCGCGGCGACATCCTGCCCGCGCGTTTGTTCCTTTGTCTCACCGACGACGACGACGCCGCTCGACGACGCCTTCCCGCCGATCGCCGCCCCGTTCGATCGACTGTTCAATTTCGCGCTGTTCAATAATCCGCTTTTCGTCTCGAAATTTGCATTTCTTCGCGAATTCGTCGTAGTCGGTTCTTTGCCAAGAATAAGACTGTTCAAGCTCGTCGTCGGTCTCCTCGTCAGATTCTCCGCAATTTTTGACTTTTGAACTTTCGGCCGAGCGACAACGTCGTTGGATTTTGCGTCAATTTCCGCCGCACGCCGCAAGTTTATCTTCATAGGATCGATCGCGCGCGCCGCAAGTCTCTTCTCTTCTTCCGCGGACGTAATCGCGAATTTGTCGGCATCGTCGGTCGGGTTTAACACTCGGTCGGATAATTCAACAATTTTCGAGGAGGTTGGCGGCGCGGATCCTCGTCCCACGCGGGACGGATGATTCTCCGGGCTTTTTAACCGTCGCCTTCCGTCGCGATTTAATTTCGCCGAGTTTCCCCGTTGATTCCGCGCGCTCGGCAACGTCTTTCTCGCATCGTCGCCCGATCGGCTCGTTAATCTCGTCGTCCCCTTTGTCGCGCAAGTTCGCGAAACTGCGACGCTTGCAGCTGCTTCAGGTGCGTCAGAGAAATCAGCTTCGGGCTGAATTCGCCTTTTCGTCGACGACAAAAACGACGCGGCGTCGGCGGAGATTGCCGCCGATGCTCCATTTCCGGAAGAGCTCGGAGTCATCAAAGTTTCCTCGTCCTGTTCGTCGTTATCTTTCCCAGCTACGGCATCTTTTAATTTATCCCGTTGTTGACGCGAAGAGATCGGGAGATTCTTATCGCGACGTCGTTGCTCAAACGACGTTGTCTCGACTCGAAGTTCTCTCATCCGTGTCGCGGCAAAACTCGCTCGCGTTCCTCTTTCCCGTCGCTCGGGCGACGTCGGATTACGGCTGCTTAAAGACGCAGCCGCGGGAAAGCACTCGTTCGAACGTCTCCGCTTCGAAACTGTCAATTTCGCGGAACCCGACAAGAAGCCGCCGTTGCTTCCGCCGTGCGCCGACGTCGGTCTCGCGCGGTACTTCGCCGCGAAATCTTTCCCGATATTTCCGTATTTCCGGTTGAAGGAGGTGCGACGGCATCCCGACATCCACGGGGGACGCGACGCGCGGCCACGCGGACTGATCGATGACTCGCGCGAACGAAACGACGTCTCGTCCTCCCGTTGTTCCCGGCTGGAAGAATCGCTGCAACAAACGCTCGCGATCTCGCTCGAACTCGAACCCGAAATCAAATTCGAGCCGGGCGCAGCTTCCGGCGGTTGCCGACGTTCGTTCGTTAGAAATCCATTCTCGGATTTTTTTCGACGGATGGGAAATTCTCGCGCGAAAAAACCCGGTCGCGATAATAATTTCGTTACGACCTCCTTCCTTTCCGGTAACGTGGCGGCTCGAGATAACGCGAAGACCGCCTTCGGCGTGGTCGACGCGCTCCCGGCGCTCGACGGTCGATTTCTCGTCGTCGTCGTCGTCGTCCACGTCGAAGCACCTATCCTCGCGCCGGAGTCGGAAGATCGCGGACGTTCATTTTCCGCGCTGTATCTGTTCTCCGTTTCGTTCGCGCGAAACGACGACGAAATCGTCGTTTTATCTCTCGGCGGTGCCGATGATCTCGAGTTGAAATCGTTGCTCGTGATCGCGCCGGCGATGCTATCGCCGAACGAAACGCTTGGCGACGGCGAACACACGCGGGGATTCCCATTATCGTCCGCACTGTTATTCGGCAATTTTGAAAGAGGAGGATTGACGTTTTCCGACGAACAACGACGACGATGATTATTCTCGATACTATCGCGATCGGACGAGTTCTTCCGAGCGATATTCCCGATCGTTTCCGTTTCCTTCTCGCTGGTTCTCGGTCTCGTCTCGCCCCGCGTAAGGAAATAATCCAACGGGTCGGGGATCTTGTCGTCTCTTCGTCGATTTCTCACTTTTGTGACGTCGTAATATTCCTCGACGAAGTCGAAAAGGCTGTGCTCGTACTGATCGTTCAATCGCACGCCGATTACCGAGTCCGCCGTATTCAGATGGAGCGAATTCAGAACGACGTCGCCCGGCGGTTGAAAGTCATCGTATTGCTTCCTGAGGGTGGCCTCGATGAGCTTGTGACGATAGGCTCTGTAATCGAGGTCCGATATGTCGATTATCGAATTGACCGAGTCGGCGCGGGACGAGGAACAGACCGACGACGACGTCGTCGGGCGTTTTCGATTTTTCGTTTCTCCGTTTCTCTTCTTCATTCGATCCTCTACGCTACGTCGCGAGGTTCTCCTCCGATAGGTTCTAGAGGTTCTATCGTCGTTTTGCAGAGTCGTCGATGTGTCGTCGGAGTTGGCTTTACGACCGGACGACCCCGGATGCAGACTGGAACTCGATGCGGAATCGGCCGATCGGATCGGAGCCGATTCGATCGGATAGCGAGTCACTAACGATCGGTTCTGACGATCGCTACGACGTAGGTAGGACGAAACAGTTCGCTTCCTCAGACTTTTCAGCGGCTTATCCTACAGGCAACGACATTGTTACGACTCCGAGAAAAAGAAAAAGAGAGAGAGAGAGAGAGAGAGGACGTAAAGGAAAATAAACTCTACTCTTTTTTGTTTTATACATGTGATAAAACACACACACACACACACACACATACACATATACGATATTTTTCCAGGAAGAGGAAAACTTTCGACAAGAGAAAATCTTTTTCGGTATTATAAATGTTCTTTTATAAAGACGACCGGGGACGATCGTCTCTCTCTCGTCGGTAAAATTTTCTCTATTGACTTCATAATACATATAGATAAAGAGCTCTAGATCGAGCTCCGCGGCAATATCGCTTTCAATGAGATCGGCGTCATTGTGTTATAAACGAGAGTGTTATATCACGGCTCTCGCTCGAAAGAAATTGGAAAATTTACAGTCCAGCAGCGCTTCCGCTCAAACACCGCGGAAGTGGTGTGCGGACGGAGACAGAGAGAGAGAGAGAGAGAGGAAGAGAGAGAGCGAGCGCGCTATCGGTGCCAACCATTTTAAAGCACGTTGCCGAACATTTTTGCGATAACGAATCGACAGCACCTTTCTCTCTCTCTCTCTCTCTCTCTCTCTCTTTCTGTGTCGCGTATGAATAAAAGCTGCCTTGGCTTTTGTTTATCGAAGGAAATGCACCGGAAAGAAAGAGACGCGAGTAAAAATATTATATTCCGTGATTGTCACTCGCGCGGATACTTTTTATTCGAGCGCACCAACACGGTGAAACGCGGTTTTTACGAGTGTGTATGCGTGTGTGTGTGTGTGTATCTGCCGAGCGAGCAACGGCGAGAATAGTTTATCCTAGAGACCCACGTACGAGAAGGAAATAAAGGCGCACGATCAGCGGCGCCGCTAACAGGATCGTCAGTGCGAGAGCTAGGACACTCTCGGCTACGAAGGGTGGTGTCGACTGCAGGGTTAGGACGAGCTTTCCCGGCGCCAGTACGTCGAACATTCCGATCTTCTCGGCCATTCTCACGGTAACACGTCGTGTCGCAAATCGCTTTCACGGGCCCGGTCGCGTGTTTCATGTCACAGAAAAATCCGTCGATCGCAGGTCGTAAAAGGTCTGTCGATCGATGCCGCGCACTTTCGAGACCTCGATGGCGCGCGAGGCTGCCATCGGCAGTGTCTTTCATAATGGAACAATCGCTGATACTCACTCGATTCGCTTTTATTTTTATTTTATTTTTTTTTTTTTTTGTTTTTTTATCTCGATTTTCTCCTTTTCGCCCGTCAGTGACTCCGTTCGGATCGCTCATCGCCGGACGTTAGCCAAATTATCGATTGCGGTTCACGTTTGGTTTACGTTTCCACTTCACCGTTCAACGAGTTTGTTGTTTATTTACCATATCTCTTGCTTGTTGTATCCTTGCGCACGTTTGCGTTAGCTTTTCCGCGGTGTATTTGATTAGCGAAAAAAAAAAAAAAAAAAAAATACAAAAAAAAAGAGAGAGAGAAAATCCTTTGAAATTTTGTTTACTACGGTTCGGGTGTTTATATTTATATTTGTCGATATTTTTACGCATCTGAATTCGTATTGGCAAAATATGTGAGGATTCGATTGATAAATATCCGAAACGCGCAGAGAGCTTACGAGCGACACAGTAGTGTGTCACATTGCCGCTGTCGTTATTGACAAGTTTGTTCATCCGGACGGGGATGAAACTCGGACTGGTGTGTCAACGACAACCGGCCACAACGGCGTTCGTCGCTATCTCCGCGCGTCGTTTTTCAAATACTTTGTCAATCGTTTTGCGTTTTATTAATCGAAGTTATATATCGCGCGTGCTTACAATCGTCGATGTCAGGATACGTCCCGTCGGCGTCGGAACCGTCCCGAGTTCGCTGCTGGAGAAGTTCCCGATAAGAAGCTACGGCGTCGTCTTGACGGTCGCCGTTGTTCTGCCGATGTTGTTCCGCGTGTCGCTGATAAGCCCCCGAGAAGATTCTGGTGTATCGCAAATAACAACCGCTCGGTATTTGCCACTGCGGAAACCAAGTAGTTAAGGAGGGATTATTTTCCCCGAAATATATTCTCGCGCGCCGGCAATGTAATTAACACACGCGCGCGCGTAATCGTAAGAACTCGATCTCGTCTTATACTTACTCCGTAAGAGGAGCTCGACACGGGCTGCGCCGGTCTGCCGGGACACATCAGCATTCTTCTTCTGTAAAATCTCGGCTAAACGAGAAGATAAGTGCATTGAACCCCTCTTTTCCCTCCTTCCTCTCGCACGAATTTCTCTCTTACGCTTTAATCTACGACTATATTCTCGGCGAAAAGGTCTTTACGGGTCTTGTTTTCTGTCAGACACACACGCGCGCGCGCAACAAAACCGCCTTTTTCCTTTATATAAAAGGTTATAAAAGTTATTAATGTTTCTCGGCGGTTTTTTTTTTGGAAAAACGCAACTCGGTTTATCGTCAAAACTTGATGTTGCGTTCTGTCTTCGCGCGGTTCATACACCGAAAAAATTGTATTCTTATTTGGAGGATATTCCACTTTAAGTATATATTTTATACTAAAATAGGCGCCAAGAAGAGTTTCTTATTTTAAGAGGAAAATCCTCTCAATAGTAATATTGATAAGAATATATACTGATTAGAATATAAAAAGCCTCTATGGAAAAACATATATATCTCACTATCGAAAAAGACTATATTCTTAAATTAATAATATATTCTTAAATAAAGAAAATAAATTAAATTAAGA